CATGGCCAGAAATTGGCAGTGCTGATGGAGGAACTGTAGGAGGCTTGATGTGAAGGTGGACCCCTTTCTGCATGGTGTATGTGGCACTATAGGGAGAACATACCATGACCACCACACTTCCTGCTTCCACACCCCATTTTTTGCTGGGATTTGTAAAGCTTTTGGAAATGCTTCATTAAATTCTTGCCTGCACATTCTTCATCAATAAATACACTATAAATGAACATAGGTTTGGTGCTTTGACATAAATGGACTGAAAACTAGTTTTTGTGATGGAATATTGCATGAGTCAAAATGTATTCTTTTTAACTCTCCTATTATTGTCTTTTTGTTCAAACAATAATCTTGTTAAGAACTTCTATCCTTTCAATAATAAAGGCAATGCCATATAATTGATCTTGTCTCCTCAATACTACATTTTTAAAACCTATAGCTGTTATTGCGGCACACTCTTGTCCTTCTCTACCCATTAAATCTGATTTTTCAGCAATCCAAAGCTATAATGTTTTGCTCAAAGTTCAAACCACATTTCCTAGAATATGTTTCACATTTGAAAAACCTATGGAACAACCCATCTTATCATTTCACAAATATATGGACAAATCATTTTCTTAGGACTGTAGTTAGTATACCTGCTACACCCATTCCTGAATAAGCAAGGTATTTCCGATTCTTGAAGTCACTCATGCTCAACCGCAGGAGAGAGAGTGTTGGGTGCCGGGCTTGAGGGGATGGGGGGCACAGGGGAGAGGAGTTCTGACGGCGTGCGATCCGGCTCCGGCGAGAATGTGCCTCACCCGAGAAGCTGACATAAATCGGTCCTAATAATCCGCTGCCAGATGATACGTTTCTCTATGAAGGCGATGGGCTTCACAGACCTGAAACCAATTCACAAACAGGAATAAAAACAAGGTGACATATAATTCGTCGAAATTCCTCGGCAAATGCAGTATTTCCCGGGATAAACAGAGCGATTCCCCGACCGTGACGCGACGTTATGGTACAACTTCCACTCAACGCCGCTCCATTCAACCCTACCTCTTTCATGCCACCCCTAGGAGCACCAGCCTCTCATTGAGTGACTTCAACTGCAATGCTTTGGCAGTATAAAATGTAAACAGAGACTCCTTGGGACAAATAACATAGTGCACATATAAAAACACCTTTTTTAAATAATTAAAAATATATGGTACTTTCCTGTTATCTCTGTACCTCATTCCTAGACCTCACTATCATCCAGACATATATTTAGGACAAGTTCATAATCACAATGACCTACCAGAACCTGTGAATTTTATTTTTCCACATTCTGCTGAAACTGATTTTGGGAGGTGGTTAGGTAAAATTAGGTTAGGTCAGGTTTTGTTGATTAAAAGATATTTGTAACTCCTAACATAACCTGACCTAACCTAACTCTACCTAATCACCTCCCAAAATCTGTTTCAGCAGGAATTAATTCTTAGAAAAAATAATTCTTTTCTGGCCATGTTTGGAAGTTATTAGCACAAATCAGTGGTAGTGATGGAATACCTTTGAATGTGTTAACCATTTTTGGCCCCAACTAAATACTACTCATAAAATACAAGAATAAAACAATACAAATGCTGCAAGTTCATGTATTGAATAGTATGTTATCTTCCTACACCATTCTTCAACATGTAATTCCTAACTTCAAGCATGCGCAATTCATAAAGTCACTCATTCCTGGCGTTGATGGAAGGAGTGGAAGCAAATATTCCTCTAGAAAGGCAGCCTGGAAGTCAGTGGCGTTGAGTTGGAAAGTGTACCATAACGTCCGGTCACCCGTTGACCACAGCATTCAAAGACCTTTTGAGGTACTGTAATGTCATGGCCGCGCCCCTCAACACCAGCACAATACCGAAGTGACCTCTATGTTTTATCACAGGCGCATCTGTATTACATTTTTACTGTGCAGGTGTAAGTGCTGTGCTGCATGCAGAGCATAGTACATTACTGAACTGTATGGTATAAAATATATTTTTTATTCCGCTGAGACAGTGATGAGTCCTTTAAAGAATACGTTATTTTAACAGATCATTAAAAAAAGAAGACCATGCACTACTTGGAGTCATATAGGAAAAAAAAAGCAACAGTTCTCAACCCAGTATAATCCTATAATACTGTATTGGATAAATATGATAAATGGACCAATTATAGAGATGGCCGGAGACCTGTTTTTCCTTCAATCACACAACTGCTATACAGATGAGGAGGGATACAATAAATATGTACTGCATATTGAACAATCCTCCATTTCTTTGCATGGGATATTTCTTATACTGTATTTGCATCAACAGCCTCTTATTTGGGAGGCACACTAGTTTTGCCAGCTTCTTTTCTCTTTTATTCAATTATCATACCACTGATGCTGGGTTGAATGAATGTTTTCATCAACATATAACTAAATCTGTGAAGAATACGGTATGTCATTCTTCAACTGTGCTGCATATTTTTATATTTTGCTCAAGCTGTTTGAGGGATTTCAAGTTTACCAATATGATGAATGTAAAAATTATTTCATCACTTTTACTGCTAAAACTTTATAAAAATTGCACTCAATAATTTCATTAAAATTAATTTATTGAAAATGAGGTTAAAATAAATTACATGAATATTCAATTTAATAGAAATTTACCGAAAAATCTGCAAGCCTGTGGCAACTATATTTACCATTTTTTAAAGTGAATTACAGTATTTGAAAAGATTAATTACATTTTCATACATCAGTATTATTATGGCGCATACAAATTCAGAGCTATAAGAAAAAATTCAATGTGGCAGCCTGCTGTGAATCCATTCTGAGAAATTTAAATTATACATCTGTGTCATTCATATACTTATGCGTTTTGAAACACTTTTTAAATTTTCTGCATTTTAATATTATCTTCATTGTTAAAGTAAAAAAAAAAAAAAAAGCAGGTCTAAAGAAGGGTTCGGAATCCATCAGTCCTTCCAAAACCCTTTTCTTGGAATCATCACTTCTCAGAATATAACGTTACTCCTGCTCTTGACCAAACCTCTACTAATTATTAATCTCTGTTATTTTTACTGATTCTTGATGTGGAAAAGAACGACTAAATCGCCTCTTCCTGGAAAAAACTCGAGCTACATACAATGACCGGAGGATACAGGAAGTTTCCAAGATAGAGGACCGTTTTCTAATTATTATTATTCCTTCGTTATGTAGTTTTTGAGAAGGAAGGACACTTGGGTGCTATAGCTCATACCACGCCAGTCGAAAAAGATTTAACCATGACTATATATCTTCGCATCTATGCAGTTATTGCTTCGTCGCACTATAAAAACCAATCGAATGTGACGCATTTTATTGGGATTATACGGCCGATGGTTCTGGATAACATCGGGGGTTTCTTTCTTCCGGGTTCAAGAGGAATCTGATGGCTTGAGAATGTGTCTCGGATCCTTCGCTGATGGGTTTATTTCCGGTGCGTGCGCCTGATGGAAATGATGGGATTTTCAGACAAAATCCGATGACCGAATGTTTATAGAATGGGGTTCTTTTTCGTTTTATCATATGCACGAGAGACAATAAAATATATTGAAACAAATTTGAGCACAGAAACATTTCCTTACAAAAAACTGATGGGGACTTCAGAAAAAGTTTGTTATAAAAAATAATTTTTACAATGAGATATTTGACTGATTGGAAAATGTTCTAAAAATTAAGCTTGCATACATTCATTGTCTTCCTTCTGTGGCCTTTTCAGTTGTTTCCAGCATTTAGAAAAGGGTGATCTTTAAAAATAAATTTGAATGTTATTAACAATCATTTGCTCTGAATAATAATGGTCACTTTTTGTTGACTTCAAGTTTTTCTAAGCAATTCCTGTACAGATTTGTGAGGTTGGAGGTTCCTAAAAAGCTTACAATTTCTTAGCATCATTATACAGGGTTTCTGAAGCATATATACAACCTCTCTTTTTAACATGAGTTTTGTTGGGTTCATTTTTTTCATAATTTCTCCATCTTTCCTAACCCAGGGAAATACATTTTTTGAAAGAGAAATTGCTCAGGTGGATATTGAATAATTTGTATCCTTGATTCCAACTCATGATCCAAGAATCAGTTCATTAAAACATGCTTTCCAGTCTGGACATTTGTTTCACACCAATTTATGACCTGCAGCAGTTATGATATTAATTCAAATTATTCTATGATGGAAATGATTATGTGTAGGATTTTCAAAACTTTTTAGAAGCACCTCCCTCTTGCTTGAGGGAAATTTTCTCAAGTTACTCATGAAAATCAAGCGCAGCCTTTTTCCACGTTTTCCCAGCTCATTTATTTGGTTAAAAAAAAAGAGTTTCTGAAATTTCAAGGCAACATAATTTTTCCTATGACTTCTTCCAAAATTGAATAAATAAATATTTCCCCTACTCTCGACTGAACTGCGTCTAAATATAATTTTAAATATAATTTTCAAATATACAGGTATTTTTGATTGAAATTTTTTTTGTTTACAAAATAATTTATGAAATTTTAATGCAACATAATTTTTCCAATGACGTGTTCCAAAGTTAAGGAAATATTTCAATACTTTCGACAGAACTGCGTGTGATTATAATTTTTTTCCGTGGGTGGATCAGGATGTAATTTATTTAAAAAATCTCCCATAAAAGTATAAAAAAACACGTTTCGCCCTGAATTTGGATTCAAAAAAATAATTTCCAAAATTTCAAGCCAACTCCTTTTTCAGCAGTCGTTTTCCGGAATTATAAGAAAATAATTTCCGAAATTCTCGACGGAATTGCGTCCGATTATAATTTATTTTTTTTCGGGGGTTCATTTATTCTAAAAATGAGGTGGTAAAATATATTTTTAACGCTTCATGCAACGATTCGCAAGGCTTTGGATCAAACCCCCAATTATTGCCTATTATTCCCGCGTGAATAAACCTCGCCTCTATATAAAAGCTCGACGTGGCGACGCAAAAGTCGACACTTGACCCGGTAGCGTCAGTGACGCACCCTGTAAAAAAAAAAAAACCAGAAAATATTTTTCAGTCGGTGATTTAAAAAAAAAACCGCAAGAACAAGCATCACAATCTTCTCCCTGGATATTCGGGGAATAAACGAGGTGGTTGCCAATTTTTTTAACCCTTGGTGATAATAATAAAAAAAAAAGAAAAGTTGCAGTCTTTTTTGGCGTGCTGAGATTTTTGCCGAAATGGGCAAGTTATTAATGCGCTTGACAGCCTTGTTGGGAATTGGCGTTTTCGTCCTCGTTTTGGCACTCAGCGTTGAAGGTGAGCATCTGGTTTTTTTTTCTGTGTGGAAATTGGAGAAAATCTATGCAAAAAAATTTTTTTGCAAAAATTGTGGGATGATATTTTTAATTTCTTGTCATCATTATAAATTTTACCAAGTTATCTTTCTTTAAACTTTAAAATAAGGACGCATGTGAAGTGTTTTCTCTCAAATTCCTAAAAAAATTTCTTGTAAACTTTCAGGAGGTAACTTATTGTAAAGTGAAAGGAATTTTAAGGTTTGAAAGTACTGTATATTAAAACCCTTAACTTAATTGGAAATATTTGGAATTTGGATTCATCCAAGGGGGGAAAAGTTTCAAATTATAAATTACTCTGAGATGAAAAATTTAGTTTCAAAAAGAGCCAAGAATGTATAGTCAAATTTTGAGATTTGATTTTTCTGAAGTCTGCTTTGGAAAAATTATTTATAAAATTAATTTCTTGCAATATGAAGGTGGAAATAGAAGTTGTTCTGGTAAAACTTGCCAACCTTGAGAAATTATGAGGGATTTATGCTGAATTTTATGGAGAAACCTCATAAATACATGTTGACAATGAAAACCTTCTTTGTGTCTGGTGAGTCCATTACCTAATTATTTGTTATCAGTCAAGGACAAAGAGCAGAAATAAATTGATTGCTTCAGAGAAATGGACAGAGAGAGAGAGAGAGTGATATTTACAAATGAAAACTGTTGAACAACTGCAACTTTTGAAAGTTGCAAAGTCTTTTTCTGCTGAAAGATTATTTGGAGATTACAAATGCAGTTAGGTGAAAATTGGAAAACATTTCTCAGAGCTTTCAATAACATATTTTCAAGAATTTTATTAAAACACATGCATGTACCCTTTGTCTTTCATTGGCTTTTCAGTTTGAATGTCCATCTCAGAATCTTTAGTTTACATTAATTTAGATTCCTTTATTTTATTTTTAAAAACATTTTTCAAGTGTTGGTCAATTTTTTATGATCTATGAAATTCATTAGATTCTGATAGAAATTATGCAAGAGCTCATTTCCATTCTGATGCCACTAATAAATGCAATTCATTTTTAGTTCAATTTAAATATGCATTTGAGAATATTTGATCTTCATAGTTATGAACAATTTGTGATTTTTGATGATACTATAAACCCCAGACAATTTCCAAAAGAAAAATTGCTTTTAACTATTTGCAAACATTTTAGAAGGTATATAACATTTTATATTGTAAACCATTGAAAACTGTTGAATGAACATACTGTATATGTAAAAATCTCATTGGTGATTTTGGTGATGTACTATGACCTGCATTTTCCTAATAAAGGATGACACAAATTTGAAGCTTTTAGAAAATGGAGCTCCATTTGTAATGAAGCTGTTGAAGAATACATCTTTATTGGAATCCCTGTAAAAAATATTGCCTATAGTCTTGGCAACACTGGTCCTAAATGTTTAAAGAAGGCCATTTATCCCAACATATTTTCATGATTATCTTGGATACCTTTATGAGATCAACAGTAAATATGCTTTAGCTGACTGCATCTCAATAGAATGAATTGGATCAATTCAAGCTTTTGACTTTAAAATAGCCTGAAATTTTAATGTTTTTACCTGCAGAACTTTTGAGAAACCCATTTTTACTATGGAAAATTCTGAAATATATTCCAATTGAATTTTTTTTATTAAGGGATGTTAAAAACAATGATGAAAAGATAATGAATATTGTTAATGCTGAAGTTCACCTTGATAAAATTCTACTTTAGTTCCTCCTTGAGAATATTTCTGTTCTTCAAACCATTTTATTTAATTTTTATCTCTAGCCACAAATGAAAATAAAATGGATTTTAAAGTCCATTTGCTGGACTTTGAGTCACAAAGAATACTTTTAAATTTTTGCAAGTATAAATTGCAAAATTTCACTCAGAATTTGACAGAAAAATTCAGATTTTCAACCTTTTGAAATGTCATCTCAAGTAGCACTGACTAAGGATAACCTTGAATCTACAGTATTTCCAAATAACATAATATCATAAAGCATGGTTACTTTATTTATCAGTAGCACTGGCTTGAATAAAATTTTCCAAACCAATTCATTTTTGTATGAACAATTTTCCTGTACATACATCTACATTCTATGTAAAAAAAAAAAAAACATTGCATGCAAATGATTCCAGTCAACCAATCAAGTCAATAAGGACACTGTAACTCTTTTCAAGTATGCTCCATCAGTGGACAGAAATGTTTGCATAAAAATCAACAAAGCTGCCAACACTAATTTACTGGAAATTAATGTACAGTAACAAATTTTGAAAAAAAACAGCTCCTATAATCAACTGTACAAGCTCTTTAACATTCTGAAAGTCCAGATATTCCAATTATATTTGTTTTTAAAAGTAAAATGTTCTGAGTGTGACCAGAATAACCCACATAAAAAAATTGGAAGCAGTGTCATCTGCTTTCTTGCAAAGGTTGAAATGAGCTCTCAGCAAAAGGAGTGTCCAATTTCTGCATATAGTCTAAAAGGCCTTTCAAATAGTCAGTAGATGAAAGTTACAATTGTTTTCAGTGCGTTAAATTCAGGCCTGTTCTATAACCCCCCCCCCCATTTGTCCAACATATGCTTGGACAAGCTTGAAAAAATGAAGATACAAAGGCTAGCATAATGGAGCAGTGCTATACTATTTTCCATTCATTCTTGAATGCAAAATAAGATGAAAATTCTCTGATGTATTCATGTATATGTTGCTCTTATTATTGGTTTCTCAGTTTCAAAAAAAAAGCAATTGTATTTCTGAAATTTACTTATGCCTTTAAATTAATTTGTATGTAAAAAAAAATTTAGTAGATTAAAAAANGTTGCAAAATTTGATCCGGACAAACAAACGGACAAGAAAGCGAGTTAATAAAAACGTGTCAAAAATAATAATCTTGATGTATACCTCAATATTAAGTTTCACCAAACAATGAAAATGAAGGAAGATTCACATCTGGAAGAATGCTCACAAAAATATGCCAATGGTGACTTTTTAAGATATATCCCTTGACAATATTTATAATACAGGAAGGGCAACAGAGATATTTTTCTTCAATGTTTTAACTGCTATATATAGTCAAAAAATATTGGAAATTATTGAAGTTGAGTGCCTCTGAAAGAAATCAATAATTTTAAATGAAAAAGAATTACTTCAAAAAGATAATTTTCATCCTGATTTTTCTTTCTGTACATGATTAATACATTTCAAAATTGAATGCAAGTAATTGAACCTTACAAGGACCTTAGTTATACAATCCTTGCCAAACCAAGTTGGTTCCTGAGTTATACCAGAAAAATCAAGTGTGTTTTTGAAAATACCTATTCCTATAACAGAGACATGTTTTTATTTTTAAAATAATCTGCATTTACCTCAATCCATCAAATTGTACCAAACAATGAAAAGACATTTGAAAATCAACTTCTGGAATCATGCTGACCAAAAATATGCCAATGGTGACTTTTGAAGATCCTTTGACAATATTTATATTACAGGAGGTGCAAAAAAATATTTTTTGTCAATGTTTCAACTGTTGAGAAAGAAAATTTATGCAGTGAATAAAACAGTGGAAATTATTAAAGTTGAGTGCCTTCAATGAGAGAAATTCATCCTTTTGGAAGAAAAATAATTCCCTAAAAAGGTTAATTTTCAGCCTGATTTTTCTTTCTGTATATGAATTAATAAATCTAAAAATTGAATGTAAGTAAGTGAACCTAATAAGTATCTTAATCATATATTTCCTATACCCAAAACAAAATCAAAGCCCAAGTTGCTGTGGGGAAAACCATTTTTCATTTTTCCCCAGCAGGGTTTGTATATATATATATATATATATATATATATATATATATATATATATAATACCTGGAATTCATGGTCTAAAATTACTCCCCATACTTAATTGCTGGCTCCAGACAACTCATTACCAATATTCCCAACAACTACAGGGTTGTGGAAATAAAATGAAACCAATTAGGAATTGGTACCCATGCATCCCTGGAGAGGGGGATTTATTTCCGTCGAGCAACGACCCGGATATCCCAGGGACTATTTTCTTTCTGTCCAGCAAAAAAAAATATCAGAACCCTGATGATGGAGAAGCAGGACATGATGCCCTTAATTAGCCACCAGGTTTAATGAGGTATTCAATATGGTGTCCTTGAACCTGGTATAGGCAAAGAAACCGGTTGGATTCCAATCATTATTTTCGTGGAACGGATAAAAAATGATTCAGTGGTTTGAGTCAAGGAAGTGCTCTGGTCTCGACCTTCATGCTTTATCAACTGTTCTCTGTGTGTCTCCATGTTTTTTTTTAAACATTTTATTCTGTTCTTCTTTACTCAAGAAACAATATATTGATTCAATCCAGAAGAGGTGGTCCAATTATAGCACAGTGGAAAAAAAGAGAGATGAGAATAACAGAGGTGATGGATGTACAGTACAGTGAAATCTCCTTACAACAACCTTTTGGGGGCCATACAGAAAAGTTTGTCAAACTTAATGTAATTGGTTATGACCTGAAATCTATTTTTCCACATAAGACCAGCTATTATATATCCAGTACAGTATATCTTGACAATCAGGCATTCCAAGATTTTATTATTGTTTGAAAACTAAAGGATCTTCAGGAAAAATTGGCTTCAGTCATGCATTCCAATGGAAATGCTAAATTGCACTGTCTGCATACTTTTTAAAAGGAGGATGTTTCTTTTAAAAATCTTATTGTTAATAATCAGAAGCAGCAAGTACAGTTATCCAAGCAGTCCCTCTCAAAGATAAATTGTGGATTTTGACATGATTGTTGTGGTATATAGAAGAAAAAAATGTTTTGTTTTGTCCCTCTCAGAAAATCTCTTTTTTTTCTGGGAGGATGATGTGTTGAACCACTTGAAAAAATGTTTTTTTTTATTATTGATTAAATCTAAGCTATACAATTGAAACAACCAGTCACAATTACAAATGCTGTGTCTGCTTTAGTTATACACCATTTTTACCTGCAGAATCCATTGGGGATTTCCCAAAAAAAGTTTTTTCACAGTGGAATTTGGTTGCTTGTTATTTTAAACAAATTATTTTGACATGTGCTCTATATTAGGGCTTTCTGTCAGGACTTGAGAAAAATTTGTCATACTGAAAAATATGCTGTAACGGTATTTGTTGTAACAAGATTTTACTGTATTACCATTGAAGGTTTAAAGTGTCACTATAGTATAAATTTTTAAACCCTTGAAGTATGTAATTCATAGTCCATGAAAATGCAGATTACTTTTTATTCTTCAAAGGAAGCTTTCTCATTTTTCCAAGGCTGGTTCATAAGCTTTGCCATTCCTTCACTGTTCATCATTGAATATGCATAGCTATACAAACAGCTATGCACAAAAGTGACCCAATTTTTTCAAAAGAAAGATCTATAGAGTCATTGCCTGACCTATTTTGGAAAAGTTGCCAACCAGGCTTAGTGACATTTTGTCATTATAATGTGGTTAAGAAACATATTCATTCAAAGTCTGAAGTTAATAAAAGGTGAGCCATAACAAAATTGCATACAATATAGGGAAAAATGGAATCATCTGCAAGATGAGATAATGTTTACTTAGAGTATTTAAAAGGGGCTGTTAAATTAGTTTGCATCAGTTTTTGGGAACTCATGAAGTCTCAAAAGTACTCTAATTTCCAGCTTGCTACTAACATATATTTATTAAAATGAAGTGGAAATTCATTCAAAGAACAATCAGCACTGTTAAATTACTCTTGAATGATGTTGCTGCTGATGTGATGGGCAGAACAGCCTCTTAAATTGTAAAAAGCTACAGACAATAAATGACATCACTGGAATTTCCATACATATCCACTGAAAAATTTTTCAGCCACTGACTAAAAAAAAAAGTAGGAAGACATTTCCCTTGTCCAGGCCATTTACTTTTAGTGGAAACAAGAAGTTGGAGCATTTCCTGGATATACAGAAGTTGTTGGCCTTCAAGTAACTCCTCATCCTGAAGCATCCAGAAACCAAACCTTGTTTTTTGTTGTTGTTGATCAGCCAACAGGATTAATTCTGGCAAGTACAAAAGGGTTTCCTGGAAATTATTCTAAAGCATACATTGAAGAAATTCCAACAGTGAAAAAAATTTTGGAACAACTTCAAATATGCTTGGTCAAGTTTTTATAAAGCCTACACATAAATTATGCCTAACTCACAGCTGGATGGTTTTTTAAACCTTGGCCCCATCCTTGTTTACCCATTAGTACTTGTTTTTTGTTGTTGATAACTTGCATGATTGCAGTATGCTGCAATTCTTATAACTGACGCTTTTTTTGTAATCAGGGAAGGGAAGAAAGTGTATATGCATTTACATCAATTGTGCAAATGTACATTTTGGGATGCATTTTCTTTTCTTTCAATATCCATTTACAGCTTATTTCTGTGTTTTACATTCTGATGTTTTGGAATATGTTTGGATGATATGTGGATATGGAGAGGGAAAGGGTTTGGATTTGGGTATATACTGCTTGAACCTTGTGAATGCTGAAAAGCAAAAAAGAAAGCTTGCTTTTAAATTCTAAAAATTCAATTGAATTTTGATGTACTGTACATGCTTATTATAATGATCTACTGTAATAAGCTCATCACAAAAGTAAAATTAATTATTATCTATACTTGTATCTACTTGTATTGGGACAGTTGGAGGAAATCCTCCTATCATAATAATGTTGTATAGAAAATTGTGTTTAAAAGTACATCAATGGAACTTCAAGCTGTAAATGTTATTAAAGCACTTATCAAATTCCTCTTTGTCTTTGAATTGACTTTGAGAAAGAAAAAAAAACAACCAATGCACTTTTTTCAAAGAATATGAAATAATAAAAACTCACAAATGTGCCTTTTTGGAATGGAAAAGGGGCCAAGAAGTAGTATTGTGTATAAAACAAGCATACCTATTTCCTCACTATAAAGACTTGATTGAAAAAATCCCACAAAGAAAAACAAAAAAGTAGTCTGAAATGGAAAATGGAACATAAAGTGAGATTATTTTTTAATTCACATCTATAGCAATAATACAGTGGCCCCCGGCCTAACAGACCTCCCATGTAAGGGATTTTTGCCAAACAGAGCAGCTCTGCAAGCAGTTTTTCCTCCCGCCCAACAGACAAAATCTGCCAAACATACAGACTCGTCCCTTGCACAAATCAAGTCCGTTAGACGGGGGTTGACTGTACCTTGATTTATTCAAGGGATATCAACATTTCTGTGAATCAAGATAAATTTTCTGCAACTTTTGGCAAACTGTGCATATTCTGAGAATATTTTCCAAACATTGAGGCCCATCAGTTTGAAGTGTCCATCAGTGGAATTGTCCTTTTTGGAATGTCCATCAAAGCCAATCATTAAGAATATAAAATAAAATAGAAAAATATTGAATTTTGGATTTGCAAATGGTCAATGGTAGAGAGGATTTTTATCCCAGGTATATATAATAAATATGACATGCTTTCAAATTGTTTTAATCAAATATACAAATAAGGCATCCCCATTTTGTCTTGTGAGTTTATTTTTAATACAGTAATATATACAGTTTGAAGAAGATATAATCAGCAGGTAAATTGAACATTTCTGATACTTGAGATACCAGCTGATCCGGGTGCACCAACTCACCTCCATTTAATTATATTGAACTTGCCTTCTTTGTACCTGTTTTGTTCTTCCTCAAGATTAGGTTGATTATTTATACTGTAAGAGAGTATCAGTGAAAAGGTATTGGAAACATTCCAGGTCTTCAGTTGCCAATTATATTTCAACTCTTATTTTAACTCTCACAAAAAATTGAGAAAAATTATAAAAGGAGGATAAACTTTGATTGTGCCTCTTCTCCTTGTGGAAATTTGTGAAATTGAGAAAGTTTAAAGGGCAAACTTGTTAGTGATGCTGATGAAAACTAGGAAAAGAACCATTCAATTTCTGTATGGCTGGTTAGCTTCTTTTGTAATGAGATTTTACTGTAACATATTCTGAGGGAAAAAAGGAAAATTATAACTGATGAAGGATTTGGAAAAAATTCCAACAATTTGGATAAATTTTCCAACTGACCGCTGTAACATCTTCACAAAGTAAATTTGTCTGTTCTGCAAAAAAAAAGTATTTGTAAAAAAAAAGAATCTCAATTTTTTCCTGCTCTTCCAATAAGTGAAATTGAATCACCTATTTTTCATATAATCAACTATGAGTCATTGGTAGAAAATATCTATATGTTCCATTTCACTGCTAATTTCCAGGTGATTTACAAGACTTATGAGAAGCCCCTTTTGTGCGCATACAATTTTTTTTCACAGGAATTTCTCAAGAGGCCAACGAACGCCAAGAAAATATGTTTCAAAGGAATGTCAGTCGTTACACTTTCCTCATCCAAGGACATTCAAAAAAATGTTGTTCAATTGGAGTGATGTCAATTGATCACATACCTGCATGAGAACCACATTTGAGTGATTTGACTGAGTGCATTTTGAAATAATTAAATTGCACAAGAATGATTCAGACTCTTGAACCCTTTTTCACAATAATTGAAATGCTTTTTTAATCACACCTCCTTTAAATCATTAAAGAAAAGGTGTCATTTTTATATTTGAAATTCCAGGAGCATCAAAAGACAAAAAACCATGGATTAGGATTATCTAAAGTACATTATTCCATCAAATAAATTTGAAATCTATAAGTTTAAAATATTGGCATTGCAAGTATGTGAATTTTTCAAAACAGAAAAATGTTCAGGGTTCAAAAAATATTTCATCAACTAATTTTGGCTTGAATATAAATTTTTAATTAATGAGTATACAGTCAATTCCCAATTTTGTGCCACAAATTTCCCTGATACAAATCTCCCTTCATTATTTTCTCAAGGAAAGCCCCAACTTAGAGCCAATAACTCACTAATTATTGCCAGAAGAAAGCTTTGTCATGTTTAAGAAAATGGGCAGCAGAAATTGAAGTAAACTTGGGCATTTTTCCAAGGATATCAATGAATTATAAGACTTTTGACTAAGAATCAAATTCTCATCCTGACATGAAACACAGGATAAATGTGAAACATCTTTTATTGAATTTAATAGATTATTGAAAAATATTTTTCAAAAAAAAAGTGGAAGCTTTTGTGGAAACATTGGTGATTTTTTTTTCAATTGAGATTTGCAAAATTATTTCGCAGAAACTTTGGGACTCCAAACACTTCATTTCAAGGCTTTTATAATCACTTTTTGAAGCATGACTGACAGATGAAAATTATATGAATGTTTCAACATAAAAGAGGATGTTATTGACAACATTTTGCCAATTTTTTTTGCACACAGGACGAGGAATTCGCTGTCGACAAGGATTCAGACTGAAACTCCGAGATGACTCGTGTATGCTTTGCAAATGTGACGATGCTGGGGATTGTTCAGTAAGTTCCCTTGCAAAAACCAATTTACAAAAATTGTATAATTTATGCAAATTCATTCTGGGTCACATTTTTTGCTCTAGACAAGAATCCTTTTGAATTGTTTCATTTTTTAATATCTCCTTTCGAGCAGACAATTTATTACAGTAATTTAATTAGGGCTGCATCAGATAAAACGTTTTTATTTGAACTGTGTCTCGGTTAATGGACTTTTCCCCCTCAGTCAAAATTCCTTCAATCCACTGATTAAAATTTATGTTTTTAATGCTGAATAATTCCCCAAAATGTCCCTTAACATAAAAGTCATGAAAAGTTTGTGTAATATGTGGAATTAATTCAAATCAATTTTTGAAAAATTTTTGAATGAAAAAAATGCAATAAAATTGAAGCATAAAAATTAAAAAAAAACTGCTCAGAAATGATACCAATTCTTTAATAATGCAATCAAGCAAAAATTCATTGCAAGATAAATCTGTTCTGTAAAAAGTCCATCATCCAGGGATTTTCTTGCAAATTGTTGTTCCAAGTATGCATAAAAAATAAAATGCTCCATATAGTTTTTGAGGAAAGCACAAAAATTATGAAAAACTATCCTCATTGAGCTTTTTCCAAGAGAAATTTAATGACATGACAATAATGGCAAAGTTTGTGCCAAAAAGTCAATGTGCTGGTATATATGCAAGAATTAAAAAATCTTTTATTGTGCCAATTTTCATTTTTTTCATAGTTGAAAAGATTGTTCTGCACATGGTCCATCCGTCGGCCATTTTTCGAGTCAAGAGGATGCAAACCAATTGACAAAGGGGGATGCTGTCCTAAAATCGCGTGTCCTCTGTCAATCCTGAGTGAGCTCAACAGCAGTGACAGCAGTGACTCTTCTGAGGAAGATGAGTCAAATGCTGCTCAGTCTCAGAGCACAGTACAGTCATCTTCATCAACACAACATGATGCTGCTGGATCAGAAAGATCATCATCATCATCATCAGGACATGATGAATCACAATCAGGAGTTGGGAAATCCCATCAGGATTCACCATCAGTAGGCCATCAGGAGACCATCAGGAAATCCCACTCTGGGAGGGAATCCCAACAACATCACCACCACCACCATCACAATCAGGAAAAATCCAGATCAGGACATGGAACCACTTCATCATCATCATCATCAGTTGTGGCTGTGACAGTCAACCATGGAACATCCTCTGGCCTCAACCTGTCCAACTTTGGTCCCAATGGTGGCTCCAGAGTGCGCACCACTGTGGCACATGGCAGCTTCAGAAGGTTTCCCTTTTTAAGGAAATCTGATGGCTCCAGCAGGAACAGGGCAAGTGGTGGTACCACCACCACCACCAGCAGCAGCAGCTTCTCATCCAGAACAGGTGAAGTCTCATCCACAGCTGGTGAACATGATGGTCAACAAGGAACCAAGGGTGCTGGTGGATCATCTGCTGGACATGGTTCTGTCAGTAGCAGCACTGGAGGAAATGGTGCATCTGGTGGAACAGAAGGTGGACAAGGAGGTGCAGGAGGCCATGGAGAAGGTCATTCAGGTGCTTCTGCTGGGACTCAAATCAGTCATGGTTCCACCAGCAGTGGTGTAGGAGAGGGTGCATCATCTGGATCAGAGGGAGGAAATAATAATGGAGGAGGTCATGGTGCTTCTGGAACTGAAGCTGGTCACAGCACAGCTGGAACACAAGGCACTTTGGAATCTAGTGGGACAGAAGCTGGTGGTGGTCAAGGTGGCAATCAGGGTGGTTCAGGAGCAGAAGTGGGATCACCAAGTTCAGGATCTTCAAACCTTGATGCTGCTGCAGCAAATTCAGGACATCAGTCCACTGGTGTTGCTTCTGAGTCCATTGCTACAGGCAATGAATTAGGATCTGCTGGTCAACAAGCATCACGTTCTTCAGGCCATTCTTCAGGAGATTTTGAAAGGGCAGCAAGAAGAGATGCAGTTTTCCGCCGCCTTGGACTGCGAAATGAAAATGACATAGCTTCTCTGGGAAACCGCCTTGGCTTTGGCACAACACACAACTTCATCAATGCACTAGACATTGCTTTGAGTGGTGGGAAAAATAAGCAACAAAAAGGACATGGGTCTGATGCTTCTGCTGGGACAGAAACAGGTGGCCATGTTGAACCTGCCAGTGGTGGCCAAGAGGCATCTGGTGGACAGAGCACAGGAAACCAAGGTGCTGGTGGAAGTGGACAAGAAACTGGAAGCCATGGTGGATCTGGTGGCAAAGAAGCAGCAGGTGGCCAAGGTGGATCAGTTGGCAATGAAGTCTCTGGTGGTCAGAGTGAAGCTGGTTCTGTTGAAGGAAAAGCTGACTTAGGAACCCATGAACATGCTGGACATGTTGTATCCAATGGAATTGAAGCCAGCAGTCAGGGTGGACTTGAAGCTGGAGGACAAGGTGGATCTGGTGGTCATGGTGGACTTGAAGCTGGAGGACAAGGTGGATCTGGTGGTCATGGTGGTCATGGTGGATCTAGTGGTCATGGTGGATCTGGTGGTCATGGTGGATCTGGTGGTCATGGTGGATCTGGTGGACATGGTGGATCTGGTGGTCATGGTGGATCTGGTGGTCATGGTGGGTCTGGTGGACATGGTGGTCATGGTGGATCTGGTGGTCATGGTGGATCTGGTGGACATGGTGGTCACGGTGGACTTGAAGCTGGAGGACACAATGGATTTGAAGCTGGAGGACAAGGTGGACTTGAAGCTGGAGGACACAATGGACTTGAAGCTGGAGGACACAATGGACTTGAAGCTGGAGGACAAGGCGGACTTGAAGCTGGAGGACACAATGGACTTGAAGCTGGAGGACAAGGTGGATCTGGTGCTCATGAAACAAGTGGTCATGCTGGTGGATCTGGTGGTCATGCTGGTGGATCTGGTGGTCATGCTGGTGGATCTGGTGGTCATGCTGGTGGATCTGGTGGTCATGCTGGTGGATCTGCTGGTCATGGTGGATCTGGATTACATGAAACAGGTGGTCATGCTGGATCAGCTGGTGCAAGTGGTCATGGTGGATCAGCTGGTGCAAGTGGTCATGGTGGATCTGGGACTCAAGAAGCTGGTGGTCATCATGGATCTGGGACTCAAGAAGCTGGTGGTCATCATGGATCTGGTGCACAAGAAGTTGGTGGACAAGGTGGATCTGGTGCACAAGAAGTTGGTGGACAAGGTGGGTCTGGTGCACAAGAAGTTGGTGGACAAGGTGGATCTGGTGCACAAGAAGTTGGTGGACAAGGTGGATCTGGTGCACAAGAAGTTGGTGGACAAGGTGGATCTGGTGCACAAGAAGTTATTGGACAAGGTGGATCTGGTGCACAAGAAGTTGGTGGACAAGGTGGGTCTGGTGCACAAGAAGCTGGTGGACAAGGAGGATCTGGTGTACAAGAAGCTGGTGGTCAAGCTGGACCTGAAGGTCATTCTGGAGTACAAGAAGCTGAAACCCATGCTAGGACAGGAGGACATGGCAGTATTGCTGCCAATTCTGGAGGACAAGGTACCCTTGGGGGGACAGAATTGACCCAAGGAAGTCACTCAGCTGTAGAAGGTCTTGGTGCACCTGCTGAAAATGCTGGACATGGAGGTTCTACTGGTGGAAATGCCCATCAGGAAGCTTCTGCAGGAACACAACAAGCCTCCAATGGACTTGGTGCAGAAACAATAGGCCAGGAACCACAACAACAAACCTCACAGCAGGGCAGTGGACTTGAAGCACCAGCAATTGCTGGACCAGTGGCACCAGAACCAGTCAGTGTTATAACTGGCCCAGCAGCAGAGGCTCCAGGAAATGAAATCACCAATGAACTTCCAGGAACAGACCCCTTGATTGAACTTCCAGGGGACACTGGCAAACTAAATGAACCATTTTATGACATTGTCTTTGGATTTGCACATTCTCTATTTCAAGGAAACCATGACCTGAGCTCACTTGGTCTCACACCTGAAACTCTGGCTGCTCTGGCCAATTCCCCTGGACAAACTGGCCCAGCAAACATTGAACCCTCTGCTTTGGACAATGGAATTCTTGTGGAGATTCAAGGGGCTTCAGATCCACTGCCTGAGGTTTCACCAGCTGCTGAGGTTCCACAGCAGGCTATTGAGGTTCCACAGGCTGCTGAACCTGCTGCTGTAGCAGCAGAGCCTGAAGTAGCTGCACCAGTTGCACCCAAGCAAGAAGCTCCTCCAGCAGTTGCATCTGAATTGCCATCAGCACAAGTTGCAGCTGAACCTGCATCTCAGCTAGCTGCTGGAAATGAACTTGGAGCTGAACCAGCAGCAGATATTCAACTTGGACCAGGTAATTATCCATTTTTTCCTTTATCCATTTGAATTGCTCATGTGAGGTAAACTGAGAGTCAACAGACACCTAAACATTTGATGGACACAAAAGCCAAGGTCTGACAGCTGCTGAGCATGAGGATGCATTGAGTGTTTTACACATCACATGAACACTATTATAGGGACTGTTGAGCACTTGATGCCTAACTGCAAATTCTTTTGGACAAGATTCCATTAAATTTAGGTGTACAGTGGTGCCTTATATGATGAAATTTCATCAGCCTGAACAAATATTCATGAACCAGATATCAAAATGGAAACAATAAATGGCCCTGACTGTCATTCCACCCACTGCAACTTCAATTCACTTGAAAAACAATGACTTTTCATAATATAGATTACAAAAAGCAGCGTTCACTGTCAATAAAAATAATTATCTGCTATGGGCACCCTGGATCTGCTTTGCAGAAATTAATTATGTGAGCAATCATTATCCAGGGCATCACTGAAGTATGTTTACATATATTGTACTACTATTTTTGCATTGTTTAACAGTGGGCAGTATTAGTCATTTTTCCTTCAAGTGGATTAGTAATTGGTACTTTATAGCTATTAGCATATAGAATTCATCTCAACACATCAAAGTTTACCCAAATTTTCTGTGGAAAAAAGGGCTGTGCAAAAAATGAAGCTGTATAAAAGGTATTGAAAGTTGAACATGATGCACATATTTTAGAGACAAATGTCAGTCAAATGGCTGTCCATGATGTTCAGCTGGCTGATTGCAGGGAATTGTATATACAGTATGCAACTCATTGAGAGAGGTTAAATTTAAAAAAAATGCAACAGAAAAGTTCAAAAACTGTGGAATGACTTCAATGCATGATTCTTTGTTTTTGCAGATCCAGCTCTGTTTGCTCAGGCGCCAACCAGTTGCAAAAATGGAGGTGATGGGTTCTTTGTAGGGGATGGACTCTGCTACCTCTGCAATTGTAAAAATGCAGATTGCAATGTGAGTACAGCAGCACAATAAGTAATATACTCAGGTATTTTCTTTCCCATCAATAACAGAAGAAGAAAAATTAAAGATGGGAATGATTGACCAAAATGAGGAACTGAAGGCTATTGCATTTTCAAAAGACCTTCAGCAGTATATTATAATCCACCCTTGAACATACATTTTCAATTAACTGACCAATTCAAGCATAGAATTCAGCTATTGCTGGTCCTCAATTTCTCTTGACAGCATTCAACTATTTTTGACTTCATGAAAATTAAAAAAGCAGTCATCATTCCACAACAGAAAGATACTCTTGCCTCAGTTTCTTTACAAAGTTGTGGATAATTGTTGACAAAAAAGAGAACCAATAAGTAGATACAATAGCATTGATGTCTACAAGGGAAAATGAAACTCAACTTTGGGACATTCCAACATAAGGACATGCATGATGCAACAATGGTGTCTGCATATTGGGGTCTCACAGTTATTTTTTTAAATTACTGCTAGAACCTTTGAAAAACTTTGCTGTGATGAATAATTTGTTGTGATGGATTATTTTACTGTGGAAATGTCACCTGTATACCCATCTGTATATAGTCCCTCAGTGAATATATCCACAATATTCACATTTGAATTGCAGGTGGAAAGAATTGGGTGTCTGTGGCACAAACAGCAAGCAGAATTGCTGACCCACAAGTGCAAACCCACTTACAAGCCTGGGAAATGCTGTCCTGAAGTCCTGTGCTGGGACACAGTCATCTTGGAGGAAGATGAGGACACACAGAAGCAGCTCAATCAAGTCAAGCTCCCTCAAATTGCATAAAAAGTGTCCCATGCAAAAATGTTGACTGCATAATTTAATTGCACCTGCTGCTGCATTTTCAGTGGTCAAAACTTTTGGAACAGAAACAAATCAACTAGGGAATTCTCCACATCAAAAACAGTTCTTTCTCCCCCTCTAATAAGATACATTTTTCTGTGATTGTCTTTAATATATATAGTGGCTTTTTTCAGTTGATGGAAGAAAACTTCATCTTTTTTTCCTAAAAAACCTGATTCTGTTTGAAAAATTGGCTTGCAGATGAATTTTTGATTTGTTTTAGAAATTGTTTTATGAGAGTGAATAAGCAGACTGTGTACTTTGCAAAATTTCACAGATTTCAAATTTTTTGAGTTTGATTTTTAAGTCATTCTTACCAAAAGTATATCACTGAAGTCCCAGTACCAATAAAAAATTCCCTGCACACAATTGATTTATTTGTTTGGAATTTTGAGGTGGATTTTCATTTCAAATAAATAAAAAAATTAAAACTGTTTTTTATAATCTCAGCCATGCCTTTAGTAGCTTTCTGATTCTGATCAGCGGAAGTAGGTCTTTATTTTATTTTTTACTGGCAATACATTTTCTTTTGCATGAATTTCAAAAAAATAAATTTTTGCCGTACGTTCTGCATTTTTTTTTAAAATATTTGGAAAGAAAAGTAGGCTGCGTTTTTTCGGAATTTTGCAGAAATCCAAAATTTCCAGGTTTTATTCCAGCTCAATTATTTGCAAATTTGAGCAAAATCAGGCATAAAAAACGAATTCATTGCGCGAAATGCATTTTTCCGTCTTCAGAAATTTTAGTAGAATTTATAAATTGAGAAAATTTTCACCAGAATTAAAATTTCAAAATATATATTTTTGGGAATTGTTTTTGGTTGGATTTTAAGTTGATCAGAGGACATTTTTAATTGAACCAATTTGGCCTTTGCATTTTTTCTTTTATTCTTGGGATTGTGAAAGAATTTTCAAATAAAATTTTCAAGGGAATTTGCGGAAATGAATGTTTTTGAAATTTAGTATTTTGTGATTTCTCAACCCTAGATTTGAAAAATAAAACATTAAAAGCGGTTTCTACTAAATATTGAGCTCGTTTGTGATTCACGGTATTTCTAAAAAAAGGAAGGAAAAAAGAAATCGTGGGAGAAAAGAGCCAAAAGCATGCCTTATTTGATACATTATGCATAATTTCAGACCTAATTGACAAGGTCTTGTTTGTGAGTGTGTGTGTATCATCCATCTGTTTTTGAGCTTGAATAAAAAATTTGCATTGTATACTATTCTTTTAATTCTTCCACATAATTCCTCAAAAAAAAAAGATAGTGTGGAAAGATGAAAACAGAAACCTGTGCCACAACATTTTCCACCTGAAGAACAAATTTTCAAATTGAAAAAGAAACATTCCAATGCATATCTAGAACAAATTGGATGACTTATATTTATTACTATAGTGATGATATACAGTGAGACACCAAAATGCAGATGTGATTGGTGCACCAAGAGGGTGCCTAAATCAAAATGTCCCTAAGTTGAGTCTTGCTTTCCTGCTGTAGACTTACATTATATACTTTTTTGTTGGTGTTTTACGGAAGAAATATTTTATTGAATTCCATGGAATATTTTTTTGCCGCATGAATTAGATTCTGTGAATATACATATTCAACTCAATAAAAACATTTGGAGCTTTGCATAGTGTATCTCTAAATTGTACATTGATATGATGGCATCTACAAAAATAACATTCAAGTCACTAAGAGAGGAAGAATTGATGCCTCTATGCTATAGGTAACTTGATTAATTACCTGAATGGATGGGAAAATGATGGGAGATATACTAAAGAATATTTCTCAGGGGTAGAATAATCTGTTTCTTATACAATTGAGCCTCATAAAAGTCAATTTTCCTGAGATTGATTGGCAATTGTATAATGCAATGTCCACATGTTGAGTCATTGTCTGACTGTCTGTATATGTTCATGTTGTGCCTTTTTTATATGCCTTTTTTTTACTGAAAAATGAGCGTCGATACATTGAATTGTCCACATGTTGAGGTGTCTGCATGTTGGGTAGTGTCACTGTACTGTACTGTGCTGCAGATTATTCATTCCAGTGCTTTTCAAAAGTATCTTTCACCACCGGATACATTAAAAAAAAATAGAACTTTCCATGCTGTCATTATAATAAACTGTGAGTGAAACATTCTTGCCATGTGTGTATATAGGTGTCACTGGTTGTTGCCCTTGAGCATTTTATTCATAGTGCACCACATCATCCCCACATTTCAAACAGTATTAGAGTTCTTAGCGACACCTATACACACAAACGGGAAAATCTTGCCCACAAGTTTCATAAACTACCGCACGCTATTCGCTCGAGTCCCTACATGGGAATTAATTCAACAGGACGGAGAATAATGCTCATCAAAATTATTTTCCATGAAATTTACAAAGTTGGCTCTCCACTGCATGGTTCCAGCTTATTTTTCCCTCATTGATGAAATATTTAACAAAAATCAAAGTCAACAAAGCATACTTTTTGAATTTCAGAGCTCATCAGTTTTTTTTTTCTCAACGGAAAAATATTTTTATGACTATGGAAAAGTATGAAATTTATTCCAGCAAGATTAATGCAAATATTCCTCTACTACCCTCCAAAATGCAGACACCCCAACAAACCTGAAATTTGACTCAATTATTGGATGGGGGCACATGGGACTTTGAAAAATCAGACCCAACATATCAGAAAATAACTCAACTTATGAAAATTTTCCAAACATTTCTCAAGTCTGTGTACTATTTTATCTTCTGAATCTTCATATTTGTTAAAGAAGTTGAGTTTTACTCACTTAAAAAAAATAAAATCAAAGTTGACTTGAAATTACCCAAGTTCATCAATAAAACGAGGCTAATTTTATGCTTTTTTTAATTGATTTGATTTTGTGAGCTCAGTATAGCACAAATTATTGTAACTCTGTTCTTCACTTCTTGAGCTTTTTCCAATGCAGAAAATCATCAGATTCTGTGTGGTTTTCTTCTGTAAATTTATTTTTGTACCTTCAAGTTCCTAAAAAGTATTTCTTCCTATTCTTGGGGAGACTCTTTCTCAAGTTTTGATCTTTAATGGAGAACCAATTAAAAATATTTCCATTGAAGTCTAGGGGAAAACAAGGTCCAATAACATGCAGATGTTCTGACATATAGGGACAAGGTTGATGCAGCAATTATGTCTGCATCTAGGGGCTCCTCTTACATATACTGTACTGTACTGTATACAGTTTATGTATGTATGATGCAGGACAGTATATGCATAATGCTTGTTGGAATTTCACTCACATACTCACTCCTTATACCCCTATTCTGCACTTCTGCTGAAGTTCCTAGAAGATTAAAACTCCCAGAATAATTTAAATCATGCACAAGTATATACGCCCCCAAAAAATGCATGGACCCAAAAATCCCTCTTTTGGAGTGAGTAAAACAGCATAAACCCCCACCTCAAAAATGCATTGCTGATGAGCATGACTGAACTGAAGAGGTTTTGCTCAAAGCATCATATCCCATCATCAGAACTTCAACATGATTGAATTATTAGACGAGATCCTCTCGTTCATAATATATACTGCAGTATTCAAATTAAAGGACATCCCATACCCATGAGGAACACCAAATGCAAATATTTTTCACGCAACGTCATCATGTGTCAACTGATGTGCATCAAAAAAGGACGTACATTTGTCAATTTATATTTATAGGCATGGGTGGGGTATACATATATCCAGCATTTTACCACGTTTTTATGAACTCACTTTTCTTCCCAGCAAACAATGAGGGCATGACATCATGCATGACCCACTAGTGCCTAACTAGAGATGGCATTTTCCAGGGGGGGC